AATCTTGCCAAAAGCTATCTACGGATTCAATGCAATCCCCATCAAAATCCCAGCACAATTCTTCACAGACCTTGAAAGAACAATCTTCAACTTTATATGGAGAAGCAAAAGACCAAGGATAGCCAAAACAACCCTGTAAAATAGAGGAACTTCCAGAGGCATCACCGTCCCTGACTTCAAGCTCTATTATAGAGCTATAGTCCTAAAAACATCTTGGTATTGGCACAAAAATAGGCAGGTAGAGCAATGGAATCAAACTGAAAACCCTGATATTAACCCAAATACCTACAAACACCTGATTTTTGACAAAGAAACTAAAGATATACAATGGAATAAGGAGAGCATCTTCAACAAATGGTGCTGACATAACTGGATGCTGGCATGTAGAAGACTGCGGATAGATTCATGTATATCACCATGCACAAAACTTAAGTCCAAATGTCTGAAAGAACTCAACATAAATCCAGCCACACTGAACGTCTTAGAAGAGAAAGTGGGAAGTATCCTTGAACAAATTGGTACAGGAGGCAGCTTCCTGAACATTACACCTATAGCACAGACACTGAGATCGACAATAAATGGGACCTCCTGAAACTGAGAAGCTTCTGTAAGGCAAAGGACACAGTCAGCAAGACAAAACAGCAGCACACAGAGTGGGAAAAAGATATTCACCAACTCCACATCCGACAGAGAGCTGATCACCAAAATTTACAAAGAACTCAAGAAGCTAGTTTCCAAAACACCAAATAATCCAATTAAAAAGTGGGGTACAGAACTAAATAGAGAATTCTCAACAGAGGAATCTAAAACGGCTGAAAGGCACATAAGAAAGTGTACAACATCCTTAGCCATCAGGGAAATTCAAATCAAAACAACTCTGAGATAAAATCTTATTCCAGTCAGAATGGCTAAATTAAAAACAACAATGATAACTTATGCTGGAGAGGATGTGGAGAAAGGGGAACACTCATCCACTGCTGGTGGGAGTGCCAACTTGTGCAGCCACTTTGGAAATCAGTATTCCTCAGAAAAATAGGAATCAGTTTACCACAAGATCCAGCAATCACACTCTTAGGCATATAACCAAAAGAAGCACATTCATACAACAAAGACAATCTGTTCAACTATATTCATAGCAGCATTATTTGTAATAGCCTGAACCTGGAAGCAACCTAGATTCCTCTCAACTGAATAATGGATAGAGAAAATGTGGTACATTTACACAATGGAGTCCTACTCAGTGGAAAAAAAAAACAATGGAATCTTGAAATTTGCAGGAAAACGGATAGAACTAGAAGAAACCATTCTGAGTGAGGTAACCTAGTCACAAAAAGACACATGGTATGTACTTACGCATATATGGATTTTAGACATAGAGTAAAGGATTACCAGCCTACAGTCCACACCACTAGAGAAGCTAGGCAACAAGGAGGACTCTAACAGTGGTCCCCCGAGAAGGGGAAAGGGACAAGATCTCCTGAGCAAATTGGGAGCATCGGGGAAGAGTGAGGGAGCTAGGAGAATGAGAAGGGGAGAAGAGGGGGAGTGAGGAGGACATAAAGGAACATGAAGGTTGTTTAGGGGGAAAAATAGAGGAGAGCAAAATAAGAGATACCATCAGAGAGGGAACCAGTATAGGTTTAAAGAGAAATCAGGCACTAGGGAAATGTTCAGAGATCTACAAGGATGACACCAACTAACTATCTAAGCAACAGTAGGGAGTCTACCTTAAATGCCCTCCTCTGATAATGAGATTGATGACTAACTTATATGTCATCCGAGAGCCTTCATCCAGCAGCTGAGGGAAGTAGAAGCAGACACTCACAGCTAAACACTGAACTGAACTGGAATCCAGTTGCGGAGAAGGAGTGATGAGCAAAGTGGACAAGACCAGGCTGGTGAAACCCACAGAAACAGCTGACCTGAACAATGGGGAACTCTTGGCCCCCAGACTGATCACTGGGAAACCACCATGAAACTGATCCAGACCCCATGAATGTGGGTGTCAGTGAGGAGGCCTTGGAAATCTATGGGTCTCTTGTAGTAGATCAGTATTTATCCCTAGCAAAGGAATGGACTTTGGGAACCTATTTCACATAGAGAGATACTCTCTCAGCCTAGACACACAGGGGAGGGCCTAGGCCCTATCCCAAAGGATATGACAGACTCTGAAGACCCCCCCCATGGAGGACCTCACTCTCCCTGGGGAGCAGAATTGGTATGGGTTAGATAGGGTGTTACTGAAGGGCAGGGGAGGAGGGGAGGCAGAGGGAACTGGTATTGACATGTAAAACAATCTTGTTTCTAATTTAAATAAAAAATGGAGGAAAAAAATTATGCATCCTCAGCCTATAGCTCAGGCTCATTACTAGCAAGCTTTTACATTTTAAGTTAAGCCATTTTCCATATTTACCCCCTGCCACATGGTGGTACCTTTATTAACATGGACCTCTCTAACATATTATAGGAACCTATCTCGGGGCTACAGCTTCTTCTCAATGGCTGGACCCCACCATTCCAGGTGTCATGCCCTTCCTATTGGCTCTCTTGGGGAGGCATGTGAGAATTCAGTTCCTTATGAGGCCTGAAATGAGACAAAACTGAGACACTTGTGCTAATCTACCTAGAGTCCACTATTCTGTGGACATTTCTGTGCCTATTGATATGCTTGAAATGATCTTTACAATTTTCTCCCATGTTGTATTATAATAACACGGTCATTTTTGTGTTTCAATATCACTGCTATTCTTAGTTTTGGAATATATTTTACATTTAATATCAGAGATCAGAAACAATTCTATGAACAGAAGAAACTATCATCTGTATATTGCAGGACTAATATCACCAGGAATTTAAACAGTGTTGCCTTAAGTGTTTTATGTCCTAATTGTAATTGTTCTTGTATTAGAAATTATGACCATTTTAATTTTTCTACATGAAGTGATCATTAATCAATTTATATGAGTTATTACCACTATTCATGGAAAACAAGAAGAAGCTAAAAAAAAATAAGCAGAAATCAACATGTAAGCTCTGGGACAGCCAAGCTGGCTCTTAGAGTAGCAGCAGAGCCCCAGTCACTGTGTATTGGAAGTGGGTTATTACAGAGGACACTCTCTGCATCCCAGGGTCACATGTTCAGAGAGCTTGGAGTTCCAATCAGATTGCTCAGGAAGACTGAATGAACTTGGCTGGCCTGGAAGCCAAGCAGCTGTGGAGTATCTTTGGACTTTCTGTGACCTGCCAATATGTGTCCAGCAGGAAACAAATGTTTTTTGTTTGTTTATTCATTGTGTGTGTGGGGGGGTTGGTTTTTCTCTTTCCCGTTGTTTAAAAACATAACTGACGAGTTTTATCTACTTCATGGGCCCTCTTTACAATAGTTCTCTGAGTTCAGAAGGTATTGATCACAACATTTTGTACCTTTGGATCTTAATAAATATTTCAGTAAGAATATACAAAACTGGCACAGAGTACTGAGAAGAACCTATATTTATTCCACTTCATCATTTAAGTTTGTGAACCCTTTTAGTTGAGTTCTCCTATTAGTTTGCCCCAATTTTTACTGAAAGGAAAACTTTCTTAACTTCTAGGGCCGAGATCAACATTGTTACAGTTCCTGCAAACTTCATGGCTGGCAGGGACACAGGTCACATGAAGTTAAGAATGAAACTTAATCAGCACCACTTTAGCCAGGTCTGGGTGAAAAATGTCTTGAGTTTGACCAAGCAGCTTTTTTTTCTTACATATTTACATATTGTAAAAGTTTGAGAAGACATTTCCATTTGAAAATTATCACAGCAAAGCTTTAGACATGGCTACACGTGAAGTCCATTGCAATGAACACCTCTTTGGTGAGGCACCTGTGCCCTTTACCCTAAGGATGAGGTCTCATTCACAGACAAAGGGAGTTTAGGGTCAGACCAGGAGAAGGACAGATTTGTAATAAGCACAAGCACAGGTTTTATAGACTGAGAATGCAAATTTCATGGGACCGCTTTCATATGGATGAGAGACAAAGTTCAGAATGAGGGCCTGAACAATGCTCAGGATTTGAGGTGGGGTGAGATTCAGGTGCAGTGGGATCCAGAGACTAGCAGAAGATCACCAGGTTGTTAGGTAGCATCTACTCCAGCTTCCTAGTGAACAGACGTGGGTCATTTCCTTCACTTGAAGACAATCCTGCATGCTTAACATTTCTGGTTCCTCTAACGCTTTCTGTAAGCTGTGCCTTTTGTGTCATTCTCTTTGTCCTTTCACCAGGGCCTCTGAGAGAGTCTTGGGTCAGTGTTAAGTCCCCACGGTGACTAAACTTATTGCTAAATTTCCTAATCATAAATTTGTTAAAATACTTGTTGTTCCATATTGTCTACAAGTTCACTTATTGTTGTACCCCTTGGTGGCTGAAACTCATGTCCCCTGTTGCACTGTCTTTTGCATCACACTGTACATGCTCAGGAAGCCAGGCCTCAGCCCAGAGTTGCTGGATCAGATCTGCATCTTCATTGTGTTTATTACTTGTGACTTTTCATATTGGGGTGAGAAGCGTCCTCCCCATTGCCATGGCTCTCTACTGTGTGAACCTACATTCTGTGCTATGTCTTATGATCCGGGCATGCTATTATTTATTTATGTAGTGTGCATGGTTGTTTTGCTAGTGGCCATGTCTGAGAGACTGTCTGATCCTCTGGAAGTGGAGTTACAGACAGTTGTGAGCAGTCATGTGGCTGCTGGGAATGAAGCCCAGGTCCTTTGGAAGAGCAGCCAGTGCTGTTTACTACTGAGCCATCTGTCTAGTCTCAACATACTCTTCTGTGGATACACTTGCTCTACATTTATGGATCTTAAATGTATAATATCCATGGGAGTTTCTAGGACCTACTGCCATTCAGTTTCCTTAACCTTGAGTTCTACACAACATTACAGAAGTACATCAGACTGATTTCAGGGATATTGCTTTCCTATATCAGAAGCACTTCATTATTTTTTCTTTATTTCAGGAAATGCTGATTTCTCTGCAGAGGAGCGTGAATGCCTGGGCCCGGATCAGTGGAATCTGTACAGGGATGTGATGTTGGAGAATTTCAGCAACCTCGTGTTCCTGGGTAGGTTGTTCTTTTTTAAATTGTTGCTGCCTTTAAAACCATGGCTGTCCTAATCAGGAAGTGCAACTCCTCTGCTACCAGCAGCTGTTAGGACTCTAGAGCAACAGCCTTGGGGAATAATGTTCCCTCAGGCAACAAGTGTTTCCCAGCTAGGCAGGGAACTTATCTAAATCTCTGTCCCTCTAAATAATTGAAGATTCAGAGGTTGAGATGGAATTCTGCTCCTCAGAGAGGCTGAATAGCAAGTAGCTCACCTCCTTTCCTTGCTCATATCTCTCAAAAGATCCCCTTCTCCTCAGCCCTACTTAAAAACCTTTCTTCACCTGGCTTCTCCCTATGCTGACTGAGCCTCCTGAGCACATATGAATTTTATGTATTCAAACACATCTTTGCAGAAACTAATGTTCCTGAACATAAAAAGTAACACAACTGACATCAAGGGTCATGAACTCTTAATTGTCAGCATAAAACTATCTTTGTACACATGGGAGCTTGTACTGTTAACAATGAAATTCACTTCCTTTTAGAATTATCCTTTATATTGTTGGTGACATTATACAGTAATGATGTAAGTGGGAAGCATACACATTAAAAAGAATGTCACACTCTTCGGTTTTTAAAAGTTTCCTTGTAACTGAGGGACATGAAGGTCATGGCATGCAAATCCTAAATTCCTTCTAAGCATTCTATTATGTCCATCAGTAAACACACAAAGAACTAATCCTCTACAATCCTTGATTGTCTCTTCTCATTCCTTGTACAGACAGTCCTAGAGCGGACATGAGGTCTCCAGGAGATCACACTAATAGTGGTGTTCTCTTTTCCCATAAATAGGTCTTGCTTCCTCTAAGCCATACCTGGTCACATTTCTGGAGCAAAGTCAAGGGTCTAATGACATGAAGAGGCAAGGATCAGCTGCCATGCAAACAGGTGTGTAGAAATGGAGTGACAAGGACAGAGTGGGAGGCCTGAGATCCATCAGGAAACCAGGCTTTGTCATGAACATTGACCTACAATGTTCTGATAAAATCAGTTTTTAAGGGTCTCATTTCTATCTTTTGCTGTGAGAAGAGGGTGTGATGATGCATGGATTCTCTTAGGCTTTGTTCTTCTCCCATTAGGTCAGCTTGTGTTTACAGTGACTGCCTCAGTTCTATAATTTCTAGGTGATCATTATTTCTTTTTTTATAGGTTGTTCAATTGATATTTATTCATTAAGTGAGCATATGTCCTACTGTCTTCAAAACATGAAGTATATTATTTAGTATCGTTATGGACAGATTTCTATTTATGCAGTCTAATTTTCATCCTTTCAAAAACCAGAAATCTATGCTTAGGACATATACATATAAACTGTGAGAACATGTGTCTTCCAACTTTGACTACTTTTATACTTTGTGTTCATCTAGTCATAAAATTTCTATATTTCTTTAAGCAGATCATTTCCAATAGCATAATAATCTTCTTTTCAAAGTCCACCAAGTCTTCCTATGCTGGTCCTGGGCCCTTCCCCATGTGTAATCTTCTTTTCTTAATTGATCTTATGCCTTCCTTACATATTTGACTTTGACTAATATTCCTTTTTTTGCCCTATGTTCTATGTAGTCATTATCTTCATCTTCTACTGCAAGTTACACAATTTCCACCTATTATGGTTTTTTTAATTAGACTCCCCAGAATACAGCTTTTGAAATTTTAATGTAACTCATTATTTATATTTAAAAATGCAGGTATGAGTAAATGGTTCTGTTGTTAAAAATAAACATAAATACAGGCAATTTTGTTCAATTTTCACTCATTTCTTAACTTTACTCACCAGGAAACAAACCACTCTACAAAGAATGTGGCATTACCTTCCCTTGGAACTCACAACCCATTAACCACCAGAAAATTAATTTAAGCATTAAGCCCTATAAGTTTGGAGATTGTGGTAAGGTCTTCCGTTTTCCTTAAGTTCTTTGTGTACACAAGAGAAGTCACACGGGAGAGAAACCCTACATATGTGAAGTATGTGACAAGGACTTCCATGCAGCATCATTACTTAAAGCACAGGCGAGAATTCATACAGGACAGAGACCCTTCAAATGTGAACTGTGTTGCAAGGCCTTTTATATTCCATCACAACTATCTACACACATGAAGATTCATACAGGAGAGAAACCTTACAAGTGTGAAGTATGTGACAAGGCCTTCAGTCGTCTGTCAGGACTTGCTGTACACAAGAAAATCCATACAGGAGAGAAACCCTACAAGTGTCAACTATGTGACAAGGCCTTCTATATTCCATCACGACTTTCTGTACACATGAGGATTCACACAGGAGAGAAACCTTGCAAGTGTGAAGTATGTGGCCAGGCCTTCATTCGTCCATCTGGCCTTTCTGTACACAAGAATATTCATACAGGAGAGAAACCCTACAAGTGTGAAGTATGAGGCAAAGCTTTCCATTATCCGTCATTACTTTATAAACAGAAAAGAATCCAGACAGGATTGAAAACCTACAAGTGTGAAGTATGTGGCAAGGCATTCAGTTACCCACCAGAACTTTCCATACACAAGAAAATTCATACCGGAAAGAAACCCTAGAAATGTGAAACATGTTGTAAGGTCTTCAAAACTTCCTGGATTCTTTATGCTCACTTGATAATCCTTTCTGGAAAGAAACCATACAAGTGTGAGGAGTATGGAAAAACCTATAGAAAGTCACACCTAACACAGCATGAATTAACTTACACTGGGAAGAAACATTACAAATATGAAGAGCGGCAAACAGTACAAGTATATCAGAAACCTTAAGGGAAGTAAAAAAATTCATTCTGGAGAGTAACCATTAAGTATGAAGAATGTGGCAAAGACTTTAGAACTTACCCAACACATTCTATACACAAGACTAGTCACACTGGAGGGAAATATTACTAGTTGGAGAGTGGCAAGGCCTTTCACCAGTCTTCTGGTCTTAAACAACATCAAGGAATTCATTTGAGAGAGGAAGCCTGTGAAGAATGTGCCAATGTCTTTTGAAGTTACTAAGAACTTTTAAAACACCTGATAATTCATACTGGAGAGAAATGCCACTAGGGTCAAAAATGTTAAAAACCCTTTAATAAATTTCTAGTGTTTCTCATCCCAAGGTAATTAAAACTTAAATAATACAAATGTTAAAATGTTTTCTACTTTTTTGTTCTTTAAAGGATATCAAAAAGTATTCTGAATAGAAGCCCTACAAATAGGGACAATGTGGTAAAGCCTTTGGGTCATTCAGACCGTATTACCCAGCACTAAAGAATCCATAGTACAAGGAAGCCATACACATGTGAAGGGTCTGGTGAGGTCCTTGACCCTCAAACAACATTTCCTGCCCTTCTTAGAATTCTTAGAATTCATCCCAGAGGGAAACAACACAACTGTGGATGGTGTGACAGTGATTTTAAGGAGCCCTCGTACCTTCAACCAGTGCTCCTCAGCCTTCCTAATACTGACACCTTTAATACAGTTCCTCATGCTGTGCTGAGCCCAGCCATAAAATTGTTTTCCTTGCTACTTCCAAACTAACAGTTTGCTACTGATATAAATCATGATGTAAATATCTTTGTATTCAATGGTCTTAGGTGACTCCTGAGAAAAGGTCATTTGAACTCCAAGGTGTCATGACCCATATGTTTAGAACTGCTGCATTAAACAAAGAAAGGTTTTCATACCAAGCAACAACCCTGGGAACCTGAAGAGCTGTGAGAATATACCAGAGGATATTTTAATTATTAGTACTGGCTTTCAACAGCTAGGGAGGCTGAATGCAATTCCTGGTGGCACACCTCCAGTTGGGCCATGAGCTTTAAGCCTGGTCCTCACAAACGAAGAAGCTGGCAGAGCCAGCATATAGAGCTCCTCAGAGGACACAGCTGTATCTTAGCAATTTGGAGTTTACTCACATGGTTAAAAAAAAGTCTAGAGATACACAGTTAAAGAGTCCAGATGGAAAACCCTTTAAACAGGTTCCAGTGTGTTTACAATGTGTGTTTTTACTTTAAAAAAGTAAAAAAAAATGGGTATTGACATTCATAGAAGAAATAAATATTTAAAAATAATAAAGTGTTTAAAGACATAAGTGAAATAATAAATAAGAATAGGCCACATAGAGATGGAAAATACACAGCAGCTCTGGATTCTCTGTATTATGTTGATTTTGAGTTTTTTAATGCTGATTAGCAAAACACAGCTGCTGACAGACATGGTTCTGAAAGTGGGACAGCATGGACAAACTGCACATCTCTGTTGTTGGGTAGGTCATACTGATGACGACCACCTGAGGGACATCTGACACCGTCCCCAGAATTCTATGGAAATGGCCACCAGATGGTACCTGACTGAAACTCCTTCATGATGGTCTGGGTCTCCTTCTGTGGCATGTCCAAGCATGGACAGCACAGGGAAATTGCTTGTCTCATTTTGTCTGTCAACAGTCAAACTTCCTCTTGGTGTTGCAGATGACAGTTGGGTCAGCCTGTCATAGGGACTACACAATATCAAACTTCTGTTCCTCCCTTTCCATTGCCACAAGAAACGTTTTATGCCTTAAACAGGTCATCACACTCATCTAGAAGTGTATGGGGTCAGTCATGAACTTGTTCGTCATCTCCAGGACCTCCTGAGGCCATGTGGCACTGATGAGAATGGCCTGTGTGGCTGGTGGCAGGCACATGAACACATCATAGATTTGCTCCTTGAAATGTTTCTTCAACATTTCATCAGCCTCATCCAAAACCAACATCTTGATAGCCATGTGCTTAAACTCCTCTACAGAATCATCTGAATGACATGTCCCAGTGTGCCTGCCACAACATGCTGCCCATAGTCCAGCCACTGCAGGTCTTCCAAGCATTATTGCCCACAATGTAGTCACTGCAATGCACATTCATGTAGTCCCCCAGAACATGAAGACCCTTTTGAATTTTTACAGCTGACTCTCTCGTTGGATCGAGGATAAAAGCTGGTGTTTCTCAAGCCTGGTTATCTAAGCAGTGGAGGACTGAGCTAATGAAAGTGGCTGCCTTGCCTGTAACAGACTGAGACTGTGCAGTGACATTGCTCCCATTCTGTCTCATTCCTGTGCTGTAGAATGTGAGTGTCACACCCAGCACCTCATTGGTCTCAAGCTCCCAAGTTGGTGATGTCCTCCTCTTTGAGCAGCTGCTTCTGTATGGAACCCAAAACCACCATTGTGGCTGAGGCTGTCATGATCCTGATTCTAATCATGTAGTGTCTATTTATTAAGGCTTTTTTTTATGTATGGGAGCATGTTCTCCTTTCCCTGTGGAACATGTATGCTTTCCCCATCCTCCTACCTCTATATCATTGCATTTGGTTTTGGATGAGGCTGAAGAAACATTGAACAAATGTTTCTAGGAGCAGATCTATGAGAAGTGCACCAGGAAAGAGTCTATTTCACTAGATTTTTGCATCACTAAGGAAAGGATATATCTTTTTACAAGGCAACGGGGAAGGGGTTTAACCATTTGTTTTTGTATATAAATTACATAGTCAGAAAACAATATTTCCTTCAAACATCATTTTCCCCCTAAAGGTAAGACTTGAGATTTAAGTTTTCTTTTTCTTTTTATTGAGTTTCCATGTATATCCTTGCCTTTCCTGGAACTCAGTTATAGACTAGGCTGACTTCCACTTCTGTCATTTGCTTCCATCAGCCTCCTGAGTACTGGGATTAAAGGTGTGTACCACCATGCCCAGATTAAAATTTTATTCACATATTTTCTATCATTTTTATCAGTTGTTGGTGTGTGTGTGTGTCTCTGTCTCTGTCTCTGTCTCTCTCTCTGTCTCTGTCTCTCTCT